GACATTTCTACGTGAATGCTCATGCCAACATCTAATAACTAGTTAATATATTATTATTAATTAATTCATCAAGTTATTAATGTTGCCTACTACTCGTCGCCGTTATGAATTCATATTATTATGTTTCTATTACTTGTGCGTGGTGTAGCTGTGGCTCGGTATTAAACCCACACTTACTAATACTGGACAGATGAAATTCAAACAAACGTTTAAAATAAGCTTTCTCAAAGCAACAACCCCATGATTTTTTTTATTTCCGTACGATACGATGGTAACAGATGCACAAAGGCGCAGTGGGCCAATTATGTTAGAGACGAAAATATGTGTGAGTAAACGTTTATCTGTGTGCTGCTTCGACTTGTTTAAACTTAGGGTGACTCTCAAGTTTTGACCAATGGGAGGGCGGCGTAGTCACGTGGGTTTGTTTTCCTGATCAGCTGTTATGGGAATGCTCACAAAAAACATCAACAAACCTGAGCCTGCCCCCAGCGCAGGTAACAAAGGCCCACAGAATAATAATACCAACACTTCAATGGAATCTTGCTCAGATTTGTTTGGGGAGAGCCGGCGAGTTTTGCCATAACGAGAGCTCGAAATTGCTTTTACCTTTGTTTGAAACGTTAGACAAGGCTTTGAACAATTTCTTGTAGCAAAAAGGTACAACTGATTATAGTTACTGCCGCCTACATGCTTTTGAACTTTAGCGAAAAATAGTTTGAGAATGACAATGTCTCTCTCGTGTTCCCTACCTGAAGACAAAGAATTCTACTGTGATTGTTAAATGAAAAAAATGGAAACTAAGGAATATTTCATGGACTTTACACAACATTGCAAGATTGCACACAATCACACAATGTGAAAATAATACGAATGTAATGTGGACGGTAGTGACGGCAGGCAGGTAGGTAGGTCCGTATGTAATTATGTAGGTTGGTGTGGCTAGTACTTAACCGCTGATCTAAAGACAGACGAGGACACTTGTTGAGAATACTGGCGACGAGTGATTATTGTCAATCAACACCGCTTCGCATTAAAAATAACTGTAGATATTACAACAACTACATTGAAGATACGAATAACACGGTTATAATGATAACGATAAGCAAGGTCATTAGAACTGTTCCGAAAACATACTCAGAAACGATCAAACAGTAAATAATAACTAGGGGACTTGTTTATTTTGTTTTAATTATCTATTATTACTGTTAAAGAAATGCATGGAGATCTCTGATTGACTATATTACAAAATTGAAATAGTTTTATACGTGAGACAACATTCAAAACAAGTTTGTACGAACACAGGCTCGTTTCTCAACCACGTGGCTGCTATTCATTTGAACGTTATAAGTAGATAATTTATGCCCTCGTTTTACTTGGGCCAAACTTCCGGGATAAACGTAACCTACTTGTTCTGTATTAGAGAAACTTCAACACTTTCAGCAGTCCCTAAAATAGTTTCTACTGATATACCGACGCATTCATTGGCGGATGGGTGCCTCTCTTTGTTATCGACTAAATTGTACTTGTTGTTATTTTTCTTTTAAATAAGCAGGTAAGTAGGAGTTTAACTAACGACAGGTAAGTTAAGCACATCGTAAGTACAGGCCACTGCCACGCTCAATATTTAAAATGTCTGCCAACCGAGAGCGAAAAATGTGGCGTAACAAGATTTCGCGTAACTAAATAGACTATTTAAGAATAGTTTCATAACGGAACCATATCTGTTAAATATAAAGAACGTGACAAAAATAGCTCAATAGAAATATCTACCTAATCAACATGATTCGAAAACCACATGCGATAAGGTTTTGTCCAACGCAGTAACGGTACTTTGGTAGGGCAAATAAATATGTGTCGTCACAACCAAATAAAAATAAAATATGATAACTTTTCAGGGACGGATCTAGGCAGGTACTCATATAGGTATTTAATTAACAGGTCCTCCTGGCCCCTTACATAATAGATTTATTAGGAAGCTGCGAACAAATCGGTTAATAAGTACTATCTATAAAAAGTGACGTTTTATCTAATGTATTTACATATTTAGAAATTGCAAGCTGCAAGCCTATTATTCAATTTCATAGTCGGGATCGCTTTCATCGATAGAAATGAACGGCAGTTTATTCTAATAATGAACTTTTGAGAAGGAAATCAATATGTCTACTGATGCGGAGTCGGTGCGGTTGCACAGAGGCGAGCAGATAAATAAATTGATCAGGGATGGGCAGCCAGACATGTCCGAAGTCCGTGTTAGTAGGTAATGTAACTAGTTATCGAATTTTCAAATTTTTTTTTACTATATAGTTGAGAGAAAGGTTTTTCTTACGAGAAAGTAATGGCGGTTTCACATATATGTAGGTACGTTATTGTTATTCTCTGTTCAAACTATTTTTCACATATACAGTATCCGATATTTGAGTGTGTGAGTGAGGACCGAGGGGTATCATGAAATGGAAAGCAATTAATAATTATTTGGGCGTTTTGGTTGCAACCGGGGGCCTCCTGAATAAAGAGTGCTCATAGAAGACAATGAAAAATATTGAAAGGTACATGATCCCAATACATATCCGTTGCCATGAACAAAATGGCAGTTACTTGTATTGGTTGGCCACCCAAGTTGTAGCACCGCAGGCGTACAGAAATTCGCAGTTCGGCCCTGATGCTTTTAATAATTAGATAACGATAGTAAATAGGGAAAACATTAGTACATACTGGTGCCTATCAGTGGTTTGGCAGTTGAGGTCCTATCGAATACTTATCATGTCGTGGTTTAATGGTTTCTGATTGCCCTATTATGTTTTCCTTCCCACCACCCTACGTGATACCAGTCCATAAATAGGTAGATACTATAAAACTTATTGTGTAGGTACCGGTTAGGTATCTATGACCTTTAAAATATTCTTAATTTGACATGTCCGAACTTGTTCAACACCGAGTTAATTGACCCCAGAATCTTTTTTATTTCTTTTTGGACAATAAACAGTTATCTGCGTATGTATCTGTTGTTTATAAAAAGAATACGTTCGATTTTTGATAATAATCGTTGCATTTCTTTTTTTGCTCTTTGGTATTTATTGTTATTGCGTTCACAATACTTGCCTGTATTGTTTGCGTTTACATCCATGAACTGCAGTATAAATACGTTTAAGTAAGTACCTATTTATAAAAACTATTTCCTATTAAATAGGAAATGGTCTCAGGAAAACGCCTTATCAGTAACATACCTTGTTTCCATGGCAGTGCTGCAAGTTCATTTACTCCCTCGACCATAAATTATGTTACTTCCATATTGTGACATGCGATCACGAAGTTATGCACTTAACATAACAACCTACCTTCACTGATACCTTAATTATGTACCTAAAGTATATAATGACGTTATGTAGGAATAGCTTCAATCTATTATTAAAAAATGCCACTAGGGATTTCCTACATCTAAGAAATGGACCTGTATTTCCCAATAATAACGATAAGTTGGATTAAAATGATTGGCCTTATCACAATAATTCTATTACTGATAAAAAAAGTATAAAATGTCGCAAAAAGTGTACTTGGAGGCGCCGGGTATCGATCCCGGTACCTCTCGCATGCTAAGCGAGCGCTCTACCATCTGAGCTACGCCCCCTGATAGTGAAAGTCTTAAAATAGTGTATCACGTTGTAGGCCGACGGGCGACTAGTGACACGTATTGTACAGTTGTGAATAAGAAACACGTATTTAAACAAGGCTCGTGTTTCTAATCAGATTTGTAACACGTTCACCGTTAACATTGTTGCTAACTTGTGTTACTTCATGAAATATTGTAGTACAGTCAATAGGAACATTACCATGGTTTCATTTGTTTTTACACCGAATCATTCAAGATCGTAGGTCAAGATACCATTGTTTGAAGACATTCTCGAATCATTATTCTTAATATTTCGTAAGAAATCATACGCGAACATCAGAAAACGAGCAAAATAGCGTGATTTATTATGAATACTTAAATAATTATTCGTAAATCAGCAATAATTCATCGAGCTGTGTTACTAACAGGATTGTATGATACTGTTAGTGTTGTTATGTTGTCAGCTGGACCAGGATGTTTGCTGGTGTATTAAATATTCATTAATTACTGCGCGTCCTTCACTAGCTGTAATTACCGTAGGTGTGTAGTTACTACTCGGGCCTCGGGTGATTTCAATAATACTTCCTTTCATATTTTGTATAATAATTGTATATTTTAACGCGGAATGATTAACAACGTAAACAAATTTTAACATTTGTATCAAAAGTCATTATAAAAATATTTATAATTATATAACAACATGTGAAGACATTTCATTTTACAATGACTAGTTTAATTAACTAAGCTCTTAAAAAGTACGTACAAAATATGCGATTTATAATAATAAAGTAGATAATCTTAGGCTAAATATTTGACGTGATGGTTGGCAAGTAGAACATTTGACTAAGTCTTATATTACATACACACTAATATGGAATGGCAACAGAATCATTGTCCTCATTACAATTATTCATTCACACACATTATTCATAATGGGCGCGGATTGCTAAATAAGCTCAGCGACCGATGGGTTACCCACCTTGTAAGGCCAGGCGTCCACAGTCTGAATTCTTAGCACCATAATAACACCGCGCCAGGCCATTGTTCGGGAGAGAATCTAGGATCTATTGACTCAGCAACGAGTTTATTTCTTCCTGAAATACTTTTGGCGTGCGGTCTCTACTTTAAACATTCCAAAATTCTTTCCCGTTAGTAACAAAGGCTTTTTTGTTGCGACATTCTATTTGTGCAGTAAATGACATTCTACAACACAATAGTTAGTCGATAGCCAGAAACGAAATTTGGGACTTTGAATGTTATTGTTCTGTTATTAAAAACTTTTGTTTCATGAATAGGTTGGAAAAAATGTGTAAGTCGTACTTATCGTTAGCGTTGGTTCGACAAAGCATTCCTATATTAATATTTCGCCGAAGTGTGAGTGTTGTGTTGTTGTTCAGCTGTCCCCCTCTAGCATGACGACCTGGGCTCCCTTGCCGACGGAGTCCCCGAGCTTGAAAGGTGCCAGGCCTGCTACCACTCCGTCCCGAGGAGAACGCACCACATACTCCATCTTCATGGCTATTACCACAAATAGGGGCTGGCCTTTCACCACCTAAACAAGTTGTTATAGTTTACTCTCGGTTTCATTATTTAGAACATACACATCTAATGGTTGTCTACTTATCATAATACAGTAATTGAAGCCTATTATTTTTCTGCATCAGGAGTCAATCATCCAATAACAGGAGCCGCCCGCCATGAGTGAGGCGAGAGGACTCTTAGTGTAGTATAAGACTCTTACTGACTAAAAACTACCCTGTTCCTACTTCTGCTCTTCGAGCCAAAAACGCGGTAACCCGTTAGACCTTCCGCGGCTCCGATAATTACAGCTTAAGTTATGATCTAAGCTCCACCTGGAAAATCAGACGTTGACTTTGTGGTCGGCATGCGCTCGGTAGGCACACTTACTGGCCAGTTGACCAACAATGCAGTAATTGCATCAATGTTTCCTCAGACAAATGCAAATACATTAGTCAATGGGCGGAAACAACGATACATTTATGCATTTCCCGCTTTAGTTGTCAATAGCAGTAATAAATGAGTGGTGTAGTTTATGAGGGCGATGACATTGACTCACTTTGTCCCCCTTGCTGACCAGTATCCTCTCCAGCACGCCGGGAGTGGGCGAGGACGCGCTGTTGGCCGCCGCTGCCGTGTCCACGCTAGTCGCCTGGTATTTGGGTCGAGGCAACTCCACTACTGTTTGACCATTCTGTGACAAAAATGACATATGAAGATGATTTGTCGCGTGGGCAGTGTCCGCTAACCGAAATATACATTTTTACACAGCTGGTGTCGTAATTCTTGTGTAACAGGTCGACGAAATAGAACTGGAGATACAAGTGGACGTAGTTATGAATAAGTGTTATATTGCAATTTTAGAGTCTCATGAACGCAAAACTAATAACACATCTTTTTTTTAAGGTTCATTGAAATGTTGTTTTCTAAAACAAAAGGCGTCACTACCATATATGTATAAAGTTTAAAATTATTAATGCATTAATGCATTTAATCCAAATATTAAGATTAGGATCATTTTGTATAATTGTACTTTTGTATTCATATAATATTTTTTTATGATTAGAAGAAAATAATGCACATTTCTCTGTTATCTGTGTGTTGACTACAGAAACAAAGTTATGTACCCAAAAATCCGCTATAACAACAATAGCTTTGGAATTTGTGAGCCATTTACTACCATACACTGATAAATTATCTATTACATTTATCAATTCACTGGTTTCCCTTTCACTTTTTCATGCTGTAGAATCGGAGGTGCCTTTTGGTTTTTTATGAGCAACAAATATAATCAGCATTTGCTATAAATAAAATAACTCGAATATCTTGCAAACTAAACATTGAAAGTGTAATTTCTTGTATACCACTGATATAGCAAAAGCCTTGGCCCTCCTTAATCCAAAGCAAATACTGTAACCTAATAATGGACGTTTACTAAGATGTTGTTGAGCCAGTAAACACTTTTTATTAGGTACAATTCTTACATCTTCTAAACTTCCCTTGATTACTTTTATAAATCTCCATTTAAGCCTTTTAAGTTCTGAAAATTGTTCTATAATGCCTAAAACGCACAATGGAAGAACTTAAATTCGAGCATACCATCAGAGAAAATATGTCTAAAGAAGGACCTTCAGTACTTAGACGTACTAAGGGACGTACGAATATGAACCGTATTCTAAACCAACTATGACAAAATATTGCTGGCTAGATCAATAGTAATCCACAGCAAACAATAGTCTATCGCCAGGCTGTGGATCTCCCCTACATAACAGGGTATGTCATAATCGCCCCACATGATAAGTGGATAGGACATAGAGGTTTTAAAGGTTTAGGTTTATCAGAGAGCGCATGTCCAGTGTCTGTCAATCAGTTCTTACGACCCCCGCTTCTGATATACTTCCCTCTTCTCTATGCCGCTACTGGCACATATATTCTACTATACTATGGTTTGATAAATGCTGTTTACTATCATACACGTGCTTATTAGCTTACCTCATCATACACGTGCACCTGTGTGTCGTGCGTGAGTAGACCCACATTGGTCTTCTTGTCTCCAATGAGGGTGTTCAGTCGGAGCCCCTTCTCCGTGGTCTGTAGTGACGCTTCCACCTGCCTCCACTCACCATCATTCACTTTCACGCTGTACGTGTTCGGGGCGGATTCGTATTTCACTGTTACTTTTAAGTCTGGGAATAAATTTTAAACTATGAAACGTAGACTATAAGCCCATTGTTGTGGAGTATTTAAATGGTATGTTTGAAGACATACATAATGTCAGTCTGACTCGCAACTTGAATGAAGTATCATTAATTCGAATGCTATATTGAATGATCAGAGAAATAAATGAAACTGCAGTGTATAGTATCGCAATATTAGTAATAGAGTCGAGGGCAGGATTAAGAAAAAACATGCACGAGACTTTTACATGAAAGCGAGAATTTCAGGAACATGCATAAAATATTAGTCAAAAGCTAATTTACAAATAAAAACACAGTGATGTGTAAAATTTAAAGTTTATAAATAGTGAGTACCTTTTTCATCAAATCTCAACGGTATAGTTTTTTGCAGCTCATAGTTAGGTCTCCAGGACTGAGGCTGCACTAAGATTCCCTTCCAGTTGTCTTGGACAGTGCTCGCTACTTGATTCGTCAGCAGCTAGAAAATACAAACAAATATAATCACCTTTTGCAACTGTACAATTCTTATAAATAAGCGCCAGGTATGCTGTAAAATTGTGCCGTTAAGACGTTGTACAGAAAGGGCTTTGGAGCTGGTTTATTTGAGGACCCAGTGTCCCTTTGTAGGTCCTAACGGTAGCCACTAGAGTATACAATAGTCACTAGTCTTGCTCCTCAAAAGCTAGGCGGCTTTTGCAGTATGGAGTCAGTATGTATACGTACATGTCCGAGCGCGGCCTGTATGGCGCGCGTCTCGCTGAGCACGGAGTCGCTGGCCGGGAACAGCTCGGCCTCGTGCTGCGGAATGAAGGCAGTGTGCACGTCGCCTGATACGAACGCACTCGCGCCGCTCAGCCGAAGTAAGAAGTTCACGTTCGTCTCTAAACCTGCTACCTGATGACATCATTGAAATTCATAGTCAATGCACATGTTTAACAGCTTTCAGTCAGAGTATACCTAAGTATACCTCAATAAGAGTATGCTATCCACGTTAGTTCACTTACTTGGTACTCAGACAGCTTGGCTCTGGTCTTGGCGAGCGCTTCACTTCGGTCCCGACCCCACACTACAAGCTTAGCGATCATAGGGTCGTAGTGTACTGACACTTCTTGTCCTTCCCGCACACCTGTCTCCACCTAGAACAAATACATCTCATGAAAACTAACTAAATTATTTATGATGAAGGTGAAGTAAGCACTTACAGGAAATGGATAAGGATTTTACAGAACCAATAAATTATTTTAGAGTTTTGATAACTCGACACTGTAAAATTCCCATTTATACAAAACTTTTTATAAAAGAGTAAAGTAGCTCCATCTATCGCTTACAATACGCATTATTCGACGTTGGATGGTAAGTGAATAAGGCGGGAAATATTGTCAGGTAATGGAGGCGCCATGGCGGTTTTGAGAGCTCCCTCTGTGAAATTTTAGGGGTATTTTCATAGAATGGGGCTAAAAAATTAGTCCACGAAATCATTATGACGAATCGCGCTGAGAGGTGGTGTAGAGATATGATGTATCAAGTGAAATGTAAGCAGAAATACTAAGACGCAATAGCAAACGTTGAAAAAACGGGGTCTGAATGGGAAATCTCACCTAAATCTAGATAGTAAACGAAAGTACAATGTTTATTAGACTAGAAATTAGGACTAAAAATCATCAGCTGGACGATCTTCATTGTTGATAAAAGGTATTGTGATTGTAGTTCACATGTAGTACGTATCAATCGGTTTCTTAAATAGTTAATTTAGGTATTTATGATTTAAGCACTAATAGACTTTTAAGTGACGCATATAATATGCTGTTAAGGCAAACAATAATAATAATAATAACTTACTCTGACAAACTCTTCAGGGATAGGCTGTGTGAGTCGGTGCAGTGTGCCGGCGCGGGGCAGGAACCCGGCGCGAGGTTCCTCGGCGTATATCCTGCACTCCACCGCGTGCCCGCGCCGGACGATCTGTTCCTGCGATAGAGGCAACTGTTCTCCTGCCGCCACGCGTAGCTGCCATTCTACTAGGTCCGTCCCTGCAAAGAACATTTTAGTGATTTAATTTTGTGTGTTGCATTTCTTCCATTTAATAAAGCGGATATAGATATGTACACGTAAACACGTTAGTAATAAGTAGCCCGACAACGTTTAAATAAGTGATGAAGTAAAAACATAGTGCCTTAACAATGACTGTAGAGTATCTGTATTCTGTTATACATTGGGATAGGAGGCCAACGAACAGATAGATCACCTGCTGGTAAGCGATAAGCGCCATTCATTGATAACCGTAACATCAGAGGAATTACAGATGCGTTACCATCTTTCAACAAAGAGTGCGCCGTTTTCTTGAAAGACACCCATAACAATCAATGAAAATACTTTTATTTTACCTACCAGTTATCATCTCAGTGATGGGATGTTCAACCTGCAGACGAGTGTTCATCTCCATGAAGTGGAACTCGTGAGTCTGTCGGTGTAGGATGAACTCCACAGTACCCGCGCCCACGTAGCCTACTGCCTTAGCGGCGCGCACTGCCGCCTCGCCTAGAGACCTGCGCGTCTCTTCTGATAGTCCCGGCTGGAATATTTAAAATGTTTGTTTATTTATTGATGCCTGTGCCTATTAATACTTATTTACATTGGATTTTTATACGAGCTCGTTTTACTCTCCGTCAGACGTTAGTAGTGGTTCTAGTCCGATTGTAATCAATTATAAGTCGCGATTGGATTAAGATTAGATCAAAAATCAATATATCTGCTTGCTAGTATTGATACCCATGTAAAGTAACACAAGTAGTTACTACGTCGTTAACTACGAAATTACTTAAGTAATAAGTTAAGTATAGGTACCGCTGGTGCCTCCTCGATGATCTTCTGGTGACGTCTCTGTACTGAGCAATCTCTCTCGAACAGATGGACCGCGTTACCGTGCATGTCAGCAAATACCTGGAACAAATTCGCAGTAATAAGTGAATGCATGAAATTCATTCAATTCATTCATGGGTCTACCATGTGTAGGTAATATGGAGGACTTCTGTGAACGCCCTCTGTCTCTTATTTTTTTGTTTTTTTTTTTTTAAGGGGGGAAAATCGTCGAATGACTGCTCTCACCTGGGTGAGGCGGGAGGGAGTGTCAGACTCTTACTGACTAAAAACCACCCTGTTCCTTCTCCTGCACGTCGAGCCGGAGCCCCGGTTACCCGTTAGGTTCTCCGCGACTCCGAATCGGCATCGGCCCTATTGGGCCCCATCTGTGGTGGTCTGATGGCTCTTTGAGGCGCGCGCGGAACGCGACGCGCCGTACGCTCGGGTCTGTTTCTGGTCGGACGGGGAGCCACCCATGCTCGCCGTCCGCAGGCCCGCGCTTACGGTGGCCGGAGATCGTCCCGCGATCCCCGACGCCCGGTGTGTCCTTCGCGATGGCTGGGTTGCAAGGAGGCAGCGTCTGTCTCGTCTAGGGCTTACAGAACATAAAATTAAGTCATATGTACCTGAACTTCAACATGTCTAGGGTCTGTGATGTACTGTTCTAGGAGCATGTTGTCATCGCCGAATGATTTAAGAGATTCACGCTTAGCTGACTCCAGTTGTGGTAGGAAGTCTGCTTCAGTCATTGCTATCCTCATGCCCTGGAATAAAAAAAGAATAAAATAATTAAAAAAAAGGATGATTTAAATGTTGGTTGGTTCTGTAAAGTAATATTTAACAAGTTGATTTCGGAAAGTATCTACGTTTGTGAAACATACACATTGACAAAAGCAGATTAGAGTGGGCCTAAAACGGTCGGACTGGAGGTCTTAACTGACGTATGTTTGAGACGTATTATAAGAGGATCACGGTTACTATTGTAATCTTTTCATGGGAACACATGAATAAAATCACAAATTCTAAGCATTGTACCTTTCCTCCACCACCTCGCACAGCTTTGATCATAAGAGGGAATCCGATCCTCTGTGCCTCAGCCTGTAGCTTCTCTATGCTCTGTTCTTCACCATGGTAACCTTTGACAATGGGAACTCCAGCCGCAGACATTATTGCTTTGGATGTGCTGCAATTAAGTCACAATTACCTATCAATCAATAAGACAGTAAAACATTCTATTAAGCTAGTTTACAAAATGTCCAATAAGCTATACAAGGAATAGGACAACGATTATCAATGTCGCCTAATTACGAAATTGTTACAATTTTATCACATGGTGGCCTATCTTGTAATCTGGACTACCAAAACAAGACATTTTGAAAAAGAAAAATAACATCATGTATATGACTTTATGTGTTGATATATCATACTGAAAATCCCCAAACGTTGTTCATACAAAAGTAGCCTCTAAACATCGGAAATAAGGTCTATAATGGAGTTAGTGGAGAATGGTCACCAATAACTGCTTGGGGATTGAATATTTAAGGTCATAATTAATCCCCAACCTGTGTTAGTCAATAACATTAATTTATTTAAATAATCCATCTGAACAATAAACTTACCTCTTGATACCCATATCCCTGATAGCTGCGGGAGGAGGTCCAATAAATATAACATCCTCACTGGCACACTTTTCACAGAACTCCACATTCTCTGATAAGAAACCATACCCGGGGTGAATGGCTTGGCTGTTAGACTTCTTTGCTACTTCCAATATTTTAGCTGCATTTAGATAACTTTGTGTGGATGGCGCCGGCCCGATATGGTATGCTTCATCTGCCTATAAATTTAATACATGATATAAAATTAACAACAATGAAGTAAACAAGTTTTTGACAAGATAATTATTGGGCATGTACAAAAAAGATAAATATTTCAATGATAAATTCAACAAAGATCTTAAGTGTACATAAATAAAAGATAATAAGTGGAAAAGTGAACCATAAGTTCATGTGTTTATACAGTAGAGACATTTTCAATTGACAAACAGATTTACAGTAGCTAAGATAACAAAGGCTGATTAATGAACATTATGTAAACTGTTGTCAAGCAAAACATGTGTATGCTTCCAGTAATTTTATTATAATATCCACACTTACTGCATAATATTAAAGTTTGAAAAGAATAAAATAATGCAAATGTTTGCAAACATTTTCTATGTCACATAACATACACTTCAAGAGACTAGTAATTTCACTAACACAATAGGGTAGATTACTAATTTTTACTTTAATGTCCGTCTGGTAGATTATGTAAAAACTTTAGACACATATTCTTTATTTTCTTATGGAAACAAATAGTTTCGAAGATATATTGATTTGAAATATTGCATGATGTCACTTTTAAGTATGATTTATACTCTAAAATGACATAGCTACCTACTCCTAAACTTTGATTTATTTTATCTAAGTATTATTTTCATATACCACAAAATAAAAAAAATGTTTCTAATATTTTTTCATTACCTAACTGACGGACTAATTAGATTTTTAATTTTCATACCCTATCATTATCCCTATTATTGTGTAAGTGAAAGAGTACACTAAAAGTAGTCTATATTACCATTTCAACATGCATAGCATGTTTGTCAGCATCAGAGTATACAGCAACTGTCCTCACACCCAGTTTCCGAGCAGTTTTCATCACTCTGCATGCTATCTCACCACGGTTAGCTATGAGCACTTTACTGATCTCTCTTCTCTGCACATCCTCCTTAAGCTGCTGGGCATGCGAGAATCTTGCAGGGTATTGCAATCGCAGTGAAACGCTGCAAAGGAATAATTTTCAGAGAATAATGTTGCATAGTGTATAAAATGCAATACCTAATTACTAAATTGTCATTCATAAAAATGGTGCAGATAATCTTGAATTCATGCAATATATATATATATATAATGTGTATATATAATGCTGTGATAGTGAAGCACAGTTCTATTGAAAAACTCAAGTAAAAATAAATTATTCTATGTAACATGAATCCAGAATATTAAAGACAATGAAACACACATTAATGACTATATTATCTATAATATCATTATAAAAAAATTAACTAAACTTACCCATTTTTATACAGATGCCTTATATAAGACATGGCTAAAATTAATAAGAGTTGTTACACAGCAATTAAATCACAGTTTTTCTTATCTTCTTAGATAGTTTCGAATACGTGTTTCGTGATTACGACGGTCGCAGGCCCAACCACGGACTGATAACGCTGAGTAACGATACTATCACCACCGAAATAATTATCATATTCTTATCAACTCATTAGCAATTTTTAACTTCACAAAGCCAACTTTTGAAACTTGTACGTTAGCGCTGAAAACTAAACTTATAATAATAATCTATTATTACGATTAACTAAATGATCAGTGTGATCATAATAGTGGATTATTATGAATAAACATTTAGTTGCATCATTTTTATTTGCGATTATAATTCACATGAATACAAAATAAACTTTATTTACAGAGATTATTTTGTTTTGATACTGTAGGGTTGCCAATGTTTTATATTGTCAGTTGTCACTTTGTCAGTGATAAGAATAATAACGATTTCTCTAAAGTTAGATGCTTACATTTAAGCTATCTTCAACTTATCCAGTTATTGCTGCCTATAGTATTTTGGAATTCAGTTTATTATGTATATCTTATCTAAGATATTATGACAAGCTTTTATTTATAGTTTGTTGGTAACCCCCATTTTTAACGTCAGTTTTAAATGTCATTACAGGGACGTCAAAAAACGTAAATAAGTTGTTTTAATTTGATTTTTTGCCAAGCAAAAATTGTAGTTACCGTTCAGGAATATGGTACAATATAGTCTGACTAATGCAATATTGTTATGGAAATGAAATTATGAATTATAGTCGTTACGTTATTAGATTGCACTTTGCAGAGTGCCGTCCGTGTATTTAAAAAAGTTGAAGAAAACAAGTAATTTACACTAATACGTAGTATGGTGTCTGTATAATACTGTGCCTACGGTTTGAATAAGTAGAGCTGAAGAAAAGTAAAATGGGCATAAAAGGTCTGTGGACGGTGTTAACACCTTACAGCGAAAAAAAGGCTTTACACGAAGTAAGCTTAATATTTTTCTTGTTTGCCTTAGTGCATGCTTGTTGAGACATGTATTTTCACTAAAGAATAATATATTTATTTTGCGTATTACAGATTAGAGGTGAAACTGTTGCTGTTGATTTATCAGGATGGATTTGCGACAGTCAGAATGTCACGGATTACCATATCCAACCAAAATTATACCTGAGGTAATTACTATTAAAACTAATTTAATTATTGTATAATGTATCTTCCTCCTCAATAACACTCCAAATAAAAATCTTTCACTATTGAACCAAAAAACAAAAAAAGGATGTGAATAAAATAAATAAATACATATGGTGCTTACATTACGTGTCTAATCATGTCTTAGACTGTTTTTAATTTCCTAGTTGCTCATAGAAGTGTAGGTAAATCCTGTAGATAACAGAACTCTATTTATAAAACTTTTCTGTGTACCTAATTATATAATAATAATTATTATAATGAAATCTATGAATTATAAAAGGTTTTGGTTCTTTTTTCAGGAACCTCTTCTTCAGAACTGTTTACCTGGTGTTAGCTGATATAAACCCAGTATTTGTGCTGGAGGGTGACGCTCCAGAGTTGAAGAGGGACGTCATGGCTGCCCGCAATGCTATTCAGTTCAGGGGAGCTGCTCCAAGATCTGACACTGCAATAGCAAAGAAAAAACCCGATGTTGCTAGGAAGAGATTCAAAAATGTTCTTAAAGAAGTAAGTTCATTAGGTATTTATTTATTTGTAGCTATATCAATTTTATTATTGAAGTGCTTTGAATTTTTTAGAAAATGTAATATGTTTGCTCTCTGGTTAACTTGAATTTTTAGTTATGTCTCACATCCAGTGGTGTAACTATACCCTAAAGGGCCATGGCAAAGTCATTGAATGGGCTCCAGTTACCAATAAAAAGCAAAGAAGTTCAGATGAAAACCTCTTAATGAGGGATAGCAAGGGTCCCATGGCATTTTGCTAACTTGCCACCCTGTAGTTACACTACTGCCCACATCAACTTAATTATAAATTGCCTATTTTTAACATGTGTTACAAAAGATTTAATAATAGGAATAATTGTAATTGTAAATTAATAGTATAAAATTAATATTTTTGTTTTTAATTGCTTTTAGTGTGAATCCCTACTAAAGACTTTGGGTGTCCGCTGTGTGAAAGGCTCCGGAGAAGCTGAAGCAACATGTGCGCAGTTAAATGCCCAAGGTGTTTGTATTTATTTACTTAACTTTTAAATAATAATTAAATTGATAGTTATTGCATTGAAGATTATTCAAAGTAGTTATTGTTTTATGTTGTAGCTATGATATTTATATTGTCATCATCCAATCTTTTTGGTCCACTGCTAGACATAAGTCTCCCCAAAACTCAATACTTCCTCATAATGGGTAGCTCAATAAGCAAAATTCAATAACTATTAGAGATGTTGATTTACTCCATAAACATATCTGTACTTACAATTTACTATTGTTTTTTCATAATTTACAGGTGGTTGATGCTGTAGTTTCTCAAGACTCAGATTGCTTTGCTTACGGCGCTCGGCGCGTGTATCGTAACTTTAGCGTATCTAACGCGGCCGGGGGCGGCGCGATGCAGGGCTCCGTCGACTGTTACGATGCTGACGCTATGTTTAAGCATAATGGTATGTTGTTGTAAGTTCAACTTTGTGTACAAAATCTTAAGGTACACTTAGTTGTGGCGTAGATTGAGTGGAAAAAACAAACTATTGATAAAAAATAGATCGACAACTCAAAAAGTCAGACGTGTATTTTCTAATGTTATTTATGGCAGGCTTCGGCCGCAACAAAATGGTGGCGCTGGCTCTGCTCTGTGGGTGCGACTATGGAGTTGGTGCGTGTGGTTCTTCAACGACCACTGTCGTATCATTCCTACACACTATCCAGGAGAACGATGTTGTACCTAGGTAAGTAAATGTTTTTGCGTACAAATGGAATTATAAAAAATTGCATTGGCATTTTAAAAGTTTTTCATTTATAGCATAGAATGTGATAATGTTCCTGGTGTATATCAAAAGTCTCGCTCATTTTTAGATGTGACTCTTAAAATAACATGCATACGTAACATTTAAAAGAAGTTTAATATTATCAATTTACAATAAGTTTTAATATTGGTTGATAATTCTACCAGACTACTGTCTTGGGTGACGGATCCCGAGCGCTATGAAGAACAGACCCGTTGGCTGGCTGCGCCTGGCCGCTGCGAGCGATGTGGTCACTTCGGCCGGCCGCACGGCAAGACTGGCTGCCCCGTGTGTGCCACGCATCGAGGCTGTAATGACACTGGACATAAGTGAGTCTTACAATAGTAACTCGGGCGGCAAGCTTTTTCATCATTATAATTGGACAGTTTCATGAAAATTGTGTCACAATACAGAGTGTATATAGAACGCTCCCGAAAAAGCCGACAGGTGATGGTAAAAAGTCAATTTTATTTCCATAAAAGTAAGGAATTAAATGTTTATTTTATATAATAATAGTTGTAATCAACTGCCCAAAGGTGATGTTACATGAATAACACGAAAACAAAAACGACTAAAACTGTAGAAACAATTTCTTATGGTCAGCGGTTTGGGAGCGTTCCGTTTACACCCTGTATAGCTCAATCAATTAAAAATGTCTGCTTCAAAAATTAGGTATCAGATTTCACATACATTGTAAGTTTAAATAATTAAATTATCGACATTATCGGTTTTAAATATGGTCATATCTTGTCTCTGTTAACGGTTTTGAGTGCCCTAGAAGACATTGTGTAGTTAAAATTATTCGGAAACCTTCTTTGTCTCTCATTATAATTTGATTTGTTCTTGTTTTTAGAACGAAGGTGACAGAAGTAAAGCGCGAACTGTCACTTCGTAACCGCGCCCTAACTTGCGGGGCTCCCTTCCCAGAGCCCAAAGTAATGAAGGAGTTTATGAATAGGCCACCAGATAATATAGACCTTAATGCATTGAAGAATCCTACACCGAGTTTGATACAATTTATTGTAAGTAAGCCTTATGAAATTTATTAGGTATATAAAAATTTATTTATGTGTCCACTCATTTATTACCCAATGATACTTCAAATGTATTATTGTGTTCTCACAAGTTTTCGAATCAATAATATAACAGATATATTATGTGTATTTTAATTTGAACAGATAACTTTGAATAGATTATTAAGTTGCTAAACAAAATGTTTAAAGATAAATTATCGTTATGGCTCTGTCACTTAGTTTCTCTATTCTCATTTATTTTAGAAATTAATGACATTTAAGTTGGACTGGTCAGAGCGATACTGTGTGGAGAAGTTCTTACCATTGCTTACGAAGTGGCATCTACAAGACGACGTGCCTGGGAGGAGTCTCAAACCTATACTGATTAAGAAAAAGAGGAATCCAAGAGGTACACAATACATACATAAACGCATATTTGTTCTACATCATTTCTTATATATATGCTTATTTTACTTCCTCATTATTCGTGCATGCACTCCGCGGGTACAGGTACTCCGCACCTGCGCTTTCTTTTTTTTTGTTTGTGTGAAGGTTACGGCCTACGCATACGCGAATGAATGATACAATACATTTTTTTTTGCTACGTCTTGCCTTGTTGTTGTAAAATTGCAAGGTTTTCTTTATTTGCTTTGGTGGTATCGCTTCTTGGAATTATTTTCGTACAGGTTGCTGCATGGAAACGTGTCTAATAAGTAAATACGTTTTAGGTGTGCCGAGTTTTGATGTAGTGTGGTCTGACATCAGTGGACTGTATGATGGACTTATACCTGATGATCAGTTTGAAGGTAAATACGACATACATTAATTACTTACACTATGTTTTCACTTTTTGATTATTTAGAAATAACTGTCTTTCATTAATATACTTCTCTTCTGCATTTTAATATTATAGAAGATGAAGATCCCTCCATAGTATGGACTACAACGGAAAGACAGGATTTGATGCGCAAATATTATGCCGATCTAGTTGAAGCATACGAAGAGTCTATCAAGAAACCTGTCAAAGAGAAGAAAACTAGAGGACGTAAAAAGAAAGATGATAATGGAAACGCAAACCCTGACAAACCTAAGAGAAAATATAATAGAAAACCTAAGAATATTGACCCTATCGACAATATAAACACGTCTATTCAGTCACTAGGCCTAAAAGATACGGGCCCTAATACAAGTGCATTGAATGTCAGTGTTAAAGTTAATAAACTAAAGAGGAAAATTAAAACGAATACAAAAAAAGGTCAGAAGACTTTAACTAGCTTCATTGCGCACAAAAAGCGAAAGGCGAGCGAGAAACTAATGCAATCTCTTAGACACAGCTTTAGGAGTTTGTCCGTATGTGACGACTATGCAATACCCGACGATAATGATGCCAAGTTTGATGAATTCTTAAGCGATAATAAAGAAAATAAACTTAGTGCTCATTATTTATCTTTACTTAACAAGACTGGAGAAGAAAGTGACGGTGACTTATCAGCCATTATAGATGGGATAGTTACTAGGTCACCCGATGTCAAGACAGTGCCCATTGACAATAAATTAGTTAGGCTAGTGTTCGAAAAATATTCTACGCCACAGAAAATGAGTATGCGAAAATCAATATTAAATCAAATTCAGAATAATTGTTCCACGCCTAGAGAAAGTCCGGTTAGGAAGAATAGTTTAAGATTTAGTAATAACAATAATTCTATGATCACCAAAGTGAATACAAGTTATTTCTTCGACAAGTTGACGGAAGATGGCGATGCGTTTGAAATGTCTTTGGAACACAGAAGCGTTGTGCAGTTAGATAGTACTGTTGATTACAGTTTACCTGAGGTGTTTTTGTAAGTGATGCTAAGAGACTCTAAATATACTGATTTTGAAAAATTATGTTGTTTTATTGTTAAATTTTTATCATATAATTCACAAAGAGAACATATAATAAAATGATGTAGGTAGTAAGTCCAAGCAGAGTGTTTTTTTTTAAGGGGGGAAAATTATCGAATTACTTCTCCCGCCTGGGTGAGGCGAGAGGGAGTGTCAGACTCTTACTGACTAACCACCCCGTTCCGTCTCCTGCACGTCGAGCTGGAGCCCCGGTTACCCGTTAGGTTCTCCGCGACAAGTCCAAGCAGACTAGGATCACCTGATGGTAAGCAATCGGTCGTCACCCAAAGACACTTGAACCATCAGAAAAGTTACAACTTTGCAAGTTCCGTGCGGGACCGGACTTTTGAAGGGAGAAGGGAGGAGGTGATTGGTGTCCAAGTATCCTCAATCGCATTGTATATTGTGTATTTCTTGGATGGAGCTGGCCTATTCATGCATGGATTGGCCAAGTGATATCTTTGATACATAACTAGCCTTTTAATACTTTTTCTTTTAATTTATTTTTATGGGATAAGCCGGTAAACGAGCATACGGATCATCTGATGGTAAGGAATCGGCGACTGCCATGGACATCTGGTACACCAGAGGCTTTATAAGTGGGTGCGTCCTCAAATTCCCAATTCTCAAAACGCCGGTATCGCACTTGTAACGTTTTGGTGTTCCAGTTGTCCATGGGCGGCGGCGATTGCTTGCCGGTGATCCGTCTGCTCGTTTCACAGCTTATGCCATAAAAATTTTAGTTACCCACTGAAACTCTTATTATGTGCCAGTATGACCCATGTCACTATTCCTAAGCACAAATCGATAGCTAGTGTTTTTTCTTATAACGTAGTGACTTTCAGAAATAAAATACTTTTCTCCCAGCTGCAAGTCATTTGAACAAAAAGGGTTAACGTGTCTTTCTAACGAGATTGGCTGACCGACGACGATAGAAAACTAATCGCTTCCGTCAGACAATATAGTAGTGGGTATATACCCACTGATTACCTACAAGGCATGATGGTGCAGATTTAAAATACTCGGCTATGGGTTCATAGATAGTAATTGGTTTAGATTTTTTAGTTAAATAACTACAACAAAAACAGTAAAACGACGACATAGAGATTGTGAAAAAGTGGTAACTTATTAAATATATATAAAAAAAGAAGGCATTAGTTTATGATTAGGTACACTTCTACCTCTACATTACAATGTGTTCCATTTTCTTAACTGCTATGACAATCAGTGTGTGGTCTTCAAAGAATCACAATTTATTATTACTACGATACTGCGAACAACTAATATTAAGTGTACGGTGTACCGTGTTCATCACGTGTTTGTGTTCAGTTAATCAAATGTCAAAAGAATCTGACGGTATAATATGACAATTTGAGCGCGACTTGGCGGGGGCACTCCCGTACCCCCAGATAAAGTCGTGTTGTATTATTAAAAAACCGAAAAATCAAATATAAATACATAAAAATGCCCTTTATTACACTAACTAGCGGCCCGTCCCGGCTTCGCACGGGGGGACTTAAGATTTTTTACATAGTTTTACGTATATTTATTCTCAGTTTTTTTTTAGCGACCTGTCCTCCGTTGTCGATGTCGCGTCTTAAGGTAACCGATTGAACAATTCAAAAGTTATCTAGAGCAAACTTTTATAAGGATTGAACCATTCATTAAAACGATTGTTATGGGTAAACTATAAAAGGTAGACATATGCTCTCGCGGACTTTTTTAAAAATAATGTTAAGATAAACAATTCATCTATAGAACATTTTTGTATAACTTTAACTATATGCTCAGCGCACGCCACGGAAGGCCTCAGAAACGATACTTTTCCCCCGTTTTTAAAACATTTTTGGTTACTGCTCCACAACTATAGGACCTAGCGTGATATTATATAGCCTATGTTACTTCTGAATAATGCAGCTTTCGAATGGTGAAAAAATTATTGCAATCGGTTCAGTAGTTTTTGAGTTTATTCATTACAAACATACAAAAATACAAATCTTTCCTCTTTATAATATTAGTATAGATATAGATAGTATAGATATAGATTACAATTTTACACAAAACATTTAGATAAATCATTTCAAAGTAAAAGTTAAATATCTATAGTTAAATACTTACCTACTTGATAATTAGAGGTATTTATGCAAATGAAAAAAAGCTATTCATAATTACAAAGTTCAATTTTACTAAGTTCACTTTTAACATAAGTTCAATTAACAATCTATAAAAAGTAGACTGTTACAAAAAGATTAATAGTAACAAATGACCAAGTGTTACGCCTCAATAAAAGCATTGTCACTATGATCCGCGATAATCTTAGAAAGTGATAAACTAGTTGTTATAGCTTTTAGCTGCGGTTGTTTCGCCACAAATCCATTTGAATACTGATTGCTGCTGAGCGCCCGGCGTCCGTACCACGGCCACGGTGACGTGCTCTCGCCCAGCAATTAATATCATAATCCCAGCTTTGTTGTTTTCATACCTATTTCGATATTGATGGAGTATTTAAGTATTATTATGTATTGAACTCGATTGGATTAATTTATCGTACTATAGGTGGTATAAGTACTTACAATAAAATGATTTGTGTCGGAAATGAGTGTGTTTCCTATTATTAATTCATGTAGGCTGAGAGCTATGCTTTGGTACGAATTGAATTTGGACTGAAACTACGGGGTTATAATAAACAACGCATATATTTTAATTTATTATGTGGATGAGGTTGCCAAAAGCCCAGGCCCAACCCTCCAAAATACCGGAACGGAACAATAAAAAAATATTTACACCACCTATTACGTAAATTTTGAAAATAAAAACGAAATCCGTGATTAGTCGGTTCACGACATGTTGACCGTTATTTTAAAGTATTAAAGTAACATCACAAATATGGGATCATGAACATTCATCCGTGTGTAACAGACACTGTACGATTGTTATCTCGTTCCCAGGACGCACACTCCACGCTCGATGCTCGATACATCGGCTTTGAGCACACCCGTATGATGATTGGCTCTAATCGCTTATCGTATTCCCCTAAAGTACGGAGGGTAAAAGTTGTTACCAACCCTTCCATAGTGCTAAAACAACGGCAGCTTACCGAAGAACTCATCAAAAAGATTGATAACGCAATTGTAACTCCTCTGGTGTTCTGGGTATCCCCACTATCCACTAAGAATATAGTGTGTTTGACAGAAAACTGAAGAATCTCGCATAATTTTATCAATTATTTTAATTGATATTCCAGAACACATTTCAAATAAAACAAAGACCTGACGAGATTAAAACAGTTTCAATGTACGTTTTCACTATTAGTTTATTTATATAGGTACTCCACAAAGGATATAACATTAACAGAAATATGCAAACTTCGTTAAAATAATAGCGCAGTTGTTTTGTATAAATATTTATTTATGTTTTGAATGCGATTATGCAAAAGCTTTCAAACAACAAAAGGAATTAGGGGCTACGTTAGTGTTTCTCATGCTACGAGCTACGAGCTACGAGCTACGAATTCGTAGCGCGGTCTACGAACTATACGTAGCTCTTCAGTGAATTGTTTATAAGACGTGGTATATTGCGCTTTAATTGGTACTTCATTACTTTTTCATTACAGGCATACACGCTATAGGTACATTCATTAAATCACTGTGTTTGTGTGTGTTGTCTAGGTATTATAATGAATTTTTAATGACCTCTTACGTATATCATTCTCTGAAGTCGTTTGTTCTCGTCCATCCCTAAGTTTTTGATTCGATTAACTCGATAAGATTTGATTAATTCCTTTTAACATTTTCTAATTAAGAATTAATTCATATATTTTTATCTGCACCGTATGCGTTTTAATGAATCATATGAGAATCGTGCACATGTCAAAGTATCAAAATCTCCGTTAACGCTGTTATCTTCGTTTGTAGTTATAGTGATCTCTTTTGTTTTTTTAATAGACAGTGCTGACAGAAAATGTTTGGAATTGATTGATGGTATAGTTGTTTCGTATACATATTCTGCGAGATTGCATGAACTACAGTGTAGTGAGTGGGTAGCGCGGCAGGAGGCTGCCGAGCCCCGCGGCACAATGGATATGTTTTTCCTGGAGTTGCCGTCACCTGCCGCGTTCCCAACGATATCAATTTGCGCAGTTTTAATCGTTTTCGATCACAGCTCAGGAGTTTTATTTGAGGTATTTAAATTATTAAAATGTCAATTTATTGAAACGTTCGTTATACAATTTTTGATTTGATTAATACATAATTATAACGAACAAACACTTATGACTGCATGATTAGAATGTAGTAAGATCGAAATACATCTCAGTTCTTAATTTACTTAACAGATTAATTGGCACAGTCTTCGTTGTCGGTTTTTATTTTATTACAATCATTCAAACGTCAAAAAGAAGTTGTTCGCCTCCCGACCGCAACGTGGTACACAAGATTATCTCGCGGCGATTAGGAATTCGATGAACTTCACAGCCGGCGTTTGGATCTCCAGGATTTATACCCAATTCAGACAAGTTCACAACTGAGACGATGTCTAGATTTACAAAGTGTACGTTGAGGACGATCGAACCGTAAAATGCTACGAGAAAGTCTAAATCCTTTTTAACCTCGTCACTGTGTTAGAAGGAGATGCGTGGCGGGTTTGTTCACCCCTGCGTCGTCAGATCTCGTAGCCAATCGGAGAGATTCGGAGGCTGCGTCGCAGAGCGCGCGCGCGTACCCGGCCGCTTCGTCATTGCGACGGAGGCTGTCGTGTGTCGGCGCTGGCCCGTGCGAGCGCTCGTCCGTGCGTCACCTGAGCCGCCGCGTCCGACGCCGGGTCGCGCGAACACGCCCTCGTGCCTACAGCGCGCCACGCCGCACGCTCACGCTACCGGCCGCAGCCTGCCCGGCACGAGCCGGCTGTGCGCGAAGTGTCTGTGTCCCTCTACTTAGCTCAGTGACCACGTTCCCGGGGACCGG